TAACCACTAACGTTGTCTTCCCTTTAGTAGAGAAAAAAACTAGGTCTACAATGTCATCTATATACAGATGACCGATTCCTGCGGACGCAGTTCATAAAATATGGTAAGGCGACATTATTCTTCGGCAGTCATTCCAGTCTTGTCAGTACCATGAGTTCCATCACCTTGCTGATGCAGCTGGCTAGGGCACTAGGCCTATTGAAAGGCAACTCATGTGAACACCTGCCTGGCTTCAATATAAAAAAATTTATAGCTATCACGGTAACTCATTAACATCATCATCAGCCTGGCCACGACCACAGCAGGACAAAGACCTCTCCTATGTTCCGCCAGTCAGCTGTGCTTGCTGCTGCCACTTTATACCCGGAAACTTTCTAATCTCATCTTCCCACCTAACTTGTCTCCTTTTCACCCACTTGCCTTCCCTTGGAATCCAGTCTGTGATCCTTAATGAACAGCGGTAATCTTGCCTTCACGCCACATGCCCTGCCCATGACCATTTCTCCTCCTTGATTTCGACTCTGATGTCCTTAACACCAGTTTGTTCCCTGATACACTGTACTCTCTTCTTGTCACTTATGGTTCCAACTATCATTTCCCTTTCCATTGCTTGCTGTGTCGTCCTCAAATTAAGTTGAATCCTCTTTGTAATCCTCCAGGCCAATTAACTCATAAACCTAATCCATAACAATTCATACCACTGAATAATGTTGTACAACATAAGTTCTTAGGCATTACGTTAGCATTTGACCAGAGATGGGAAACACGCATAGCTAAGGTCAGCCACACTGTGTAAACTTCCCTACCTAAAACACCATTGAGAAAGAAAGCTGTCCACACCTGCGCCAAAAAAACATTTTGCCTGCACCATGTTCGTAAGACCGGTATTAGAATTCGCCCACATGGTTTTGTTTCCTCATTCACTAACTCGTATCAGTAAATTAGAGGCAGTACAAGGCAAAGCCACTCAACAAGTTCAAACTTCATTACAGCAATTCTCCCGCTAACCTTCTGGCATTGATACACTAACTAATATGGCAAAAGAACCTGTGGCTCTTGTACCAGTTGCTACAAGGCCACTACAAGGTAGATGTGTCTCAGTACGTCACACTTTTACAGTCGCGTCCTACTCGACACAAGCGCAACTGCAGTCTGATAGAATATTCCTCAAACAGCGATGTCTTTGGGAAATGTTTTCCCCTTTACAACACCTGTTTGGAATAAACTAAATGCAAATGTTGCCTATATTGACACACTATCCACATTCAGCATAGTGTTAGAAACCATGTGCAACCTGAAGTAGTATGTCAATGCTTAACACTTTTTTTGCTGTTTTACCCTTTCATTTTTGTAATGTGCACTACAGTGCGCAGTAGGCCAGGCTATACTTGAACAGGCCTGCCTTTCTGCCTTCGCCTGGTAAAATGTCGGGATAAAATTTTTTTTGTTCAATCAATCCATCGCTAGGTTTAGTATGAGCAAGTCAGCATTTTACCGAGTGTGCTGCTAGAAAACTGCGCATCTTGTTCATTTGGTCACCGACGTTTGTCCGGCTCTTCTGATATCATGGATGCAGGAAAATCTGGTGCCTTTCAAATTTACACTTTTAATTACAGTTTTGTTTTTTCTAACACAAATAAAATGTGGTAAAGCTTACCATGTGCATGATGGCTGGGCTGATTTTGAAGATGCCTTAAATACATATTTTTATAACAGTGCATAACAAATTTTGTTATGAATATTCTCTGGTTCATTTGCACTGTGTAATGAAGTCATTGTTCAGTGATGGAAGTGCCTTTTCACTTTCTGGAGCATACTTTAGAGCAGAGTACTGCTTCAGAGTAGCGATAAGCATTTTTGATGCAGAAAAAATGCTAGTTTCGAGCAGCTATTGTTGTTCTAGGAGCAGATATTAAATTTGCCATACATTTATTGGGAGTTCAGAGCACTGTCAAAGCATCTCATAAATATTAAATATTTTTCTTAAAATACAATTACCAGATAACAATAAATGTCAATTCTAGGTACCAAACAATAACAGGTTCTCAAAAATTGGCTGTCAAATTACCTACAATTTAAAATGCTAGTATTTGTCGCAGAAAGCAAATCAAACTGGAAAAGCTGAGCACCACATTTTAGAAGTAACCACAGTCCCATATAAATGTTGCCAAATAAGCAGTAGATAATCGATACGGGATATAAGCAGTCCTGCTCATTTCTACATTTCACCTCATTAGCCAGCATGCCTAGCTGAAAAAGAACAGCCTAATGAGCTATATGGTTAATATGCCGACTGATGCACAAATGAGATCAGAGCCGATAACACTGCACTGGGATGATAGTACACAGATTCTTTTCAGTTTTATTAGCACTTACGAGCCGGTTAAACAGTAAAAGTTCGTCATTCTCATTCTCTCAGTGTCATTTTGGAGTATGTCTGGAGCAATTAGTAACTAAAATTACTGTTTAGAGCAGCATGGAGTAGCAATTCTCTTTTGAAGCAGTTTGTGCGGCACCTCCATCACTGCACTGTTCCTTGATTTTGTGTTTTACCAGTAGTGTAAATAAATTTGTATGTTATTTGGAATGTTAATCTTTATAAATGAATGTCATGTACATTTATGCCCTCTGCAATGACTCCATTCTTTTTCGGAGCAGTTTGAGTAGCACCTTCATCACTGCATTGTTCCTTATTTTGTGTTTTTCTAGTAGTGCAAATAAATTTGTATGTTACTTGGAATGTTATGCTTCATTTATTCCCTCTGTAATGACTCCAAAATTGGGGTCGACTGTATCAAAAATAAATAAATAGATTGATATGTGGGCTTTAATGTCCCAAAACCACATATGATTAAGAGAGACGCTGTAGTGGGGAGCTCCAGAAAGTTCGACCGCCTAGGGTTCTTTAACATGCACCCAAATCTGAGCACACGGGCCTACATTTTCGCCTCCATCGGAAATGCAGCCCCTGCAGCGGGATTCAATCCCACGACCTGCGTGTCCGCAGCTGAGTACCTTAGCCACTAGATCATTGTGGCGGGGCAAAATAAATAAATAGAATAAATAAGTGTGGCTGATTCAAACGCAGCCATCGAATACACTAAATCAAGCTAATGCTGCAAAACATTAGTGTGTGTTTCCCAACATAACCCTCGCATACAGTTGTAGCGCAGCAGTGCCATCTATCTATAAAAGGAAAAAAAGCCTGCTTTAAAGCCTGACAGGCAGGGAGACATTAGAAAACACCTCTCCCATTGTTCCTCCATGAGCAGGGCCGATGATTTCCTGCAGCCCCATTGACCTTGAGGAGCATGGGCAGAGATACTGGGAAAGTTGGGGAAGAAGAGAACTCCCCGAGCATCAGAAGAGTTAGCTTGCCGTGGACCATCGAAGTTGGATTGGCACTGGCTAGCTGGCCCGATGGTTTACGGTTGAGTGTGCGCAGAGTGCCCTCGATCGGAGCACCGGACTTGCGCTTAGGCACTAGTTTTCTGGACGAGCCCTCGCTTTTCAAAAGACCAGTAAGCTTGGTAACTTATGCGCAGCCACGCACTGTTGCCCTAAATGACCCTGTCAGACCCGAAGCAGTCTGGTTTATAACAGAGCGACCTTGACTCTTCCAAGTTACTCATCCCCTCGTAGCAACTGAGTGAATGCGTAAACTTTCAACTGAAAGTTGAAAGTTTACGTAATGATGAGTAAACTTTCAACTGAAATGATGAGTTTACTCATACACAAACTTTTAACTGAAAGTAGAAAGTTTGAACTTGTCTCACTCCCATCTTTTCTGTGTCGCCATCTTCACTTGTGCACACCAGTTTACCTTGAAATATGAACCAACTTGCCCAGCTACAAGCTTTACTGTATCTATAAATGTTGCTCGAAGACGAGAAGTGCTAAGCCTCGAACCAGAAGTGCCGTAGCAGACGATGCGCTGTTTTAAGCCCGCAGTGACAGTGGCACTTTGCTATTTTTCCAGAACGCCAAGGCTAGTTTAAAAAAAATAGAAGAGCGAGAAAGAGAAAAAAAAGAAATTAAGTTGGCTTACTTATCGATTTCAGTCGCAATAGTTACTACGAACTCTATGATGGGAATATGTTACTGCTTCAAATCTGTCTAATAAACCTCACAACACGTCCCGGGAGGCTGACTGCACTTCAGTGCTCAGCGATCCACTTTCTTCCATAATTTGTCACTGATTTAATTTTCCTCTGTCTGCATGATCGTGAACATGTGCATTTGCACCCACGTGACCTCTCTGCCTTCACTATTATAATTTGTCTCTTCTTCATCTTCTTTACATTCTCCAATACGTTACAGGAAAAGCTGTATATGACTAGGCAAAACAAAAAAACTGTTTGCCACAAGAAACGATAATGGTCTCCATTGGCTGCTCCATCAGTTACGTCGTTCCCTACATCGCACCTAAGCGCTCGCACCAATGGGAGCACCGTCAGTGACGTCGTTCATCCCTTTGCAGCGTGTCGCAGAGCCCATGCACAGCACTTCTAACTTACAACTTTCACATGGGCAGGGCACAGATTGTATGAACACCTGAATAGCAGACAACTTTCCAAGAAATACGCCGACAGCTGATTCATGAGAGAATTCATGTTTGTTAGGCTGATGCAGCAGTCCAGCATCAAGAACAGGCCCAGTTGGCGAAGTGCAAGCAGCAACTGCGCACCAAGAACCCAGCAGCCTTTCGGGCGGAAAGAAGAAACAACGGCAAGCCGAGGAAATAGCATCGCTGGCAGAGCAGCGGCGTCAATGTGGCAATGGCGGAAATGGATCGGCCTACACCCGCTTTCGGCAGGAGCTTTTCGAGAGGCACTTTGGCTTCGGCTGGGACATATCAGCTTTGCTGGTTAACTATCTGTACGGAGTGCTTAAGCAGTGATTTTTATATAATTTACGTCACAGGCTCGCTTTTAGTGATGGTGATAGGGTGCCACAACAAATTGGTGAGATTTGCCGCACTCAGCAAAGAAGAAAAAACATTCACAAATGAAAGGTCTTTATTCGGCACAACAGTTCATTCAAAACTCCTTATGAACCAACAGGTTGGCAAAGGCAACAGCATGGCCTGATTATTTCATCCTCCAAAAAGTGAGTTCCACAGATGACATAGGGCAAAATAACAGCACGTCTGTGTAACTTTTTATTAACACTACGCTTAAAATATATATTGGCATATTTTTCATGCAGTTTCAAAGCTCACGCACAGCAATGTATTGTTGAAATTAGTAGTGGTGTGATTTATGAAATATAGAAATACCCACACCTCTGTGTGTCGTCCTAAAACTTGTGCCAGACACCAACATTCACTCTTGGTACCACTTAGCACTAGGCGCTTTGTGCAGTGTGAATATGAGCGGGATCTGTGGGCACAACAGCGCTTGCATTTCAAGAGTCGTTGTAACATTTAAAAACTCTAGATGGACAAGGCAACGCACTCCAAATGCTACATCACAACATATTCTCATTTGCTAGTGGCGCCGTAAAACACGTACTGGGCCTTCTTTAGCAGCCCATTTTGTACCTGTGGTGACAGTCTTAATACTTGTGGGGTCAGAACTGTCACCTGCACAAACTCCGAGGGGACAGCCCGAGACGAGAAGGCAGAGATGGAATGAATTCCCTGATAGCAAAGAGGGGAAGCTGCCTCAAAAAGACAGCCACGTATGCAGCACATGCCCCCGTAATGAGGCTTCAATGTGGAGCTCAGGAGGTGGCTGAATACCGCTGCAGCAGCACAGTCTGACAGGTGTCGCACACACGCACAGGCTTCGCCGATGACGGTAGTGGCATTGTGTTGTCCGAGCAGGCGTTGCAAAAAATCTCCCCGCAACTACGGCAATGGTGCTGCATGCAAGGCATCGTAAAATTTCTCAATGAGGACAGTGATAAGCAGAAACAGCTGGTGAAAGACTGCTCATATTTTGAAGGTACACTAAAGAGGTACATTGACTTCATTTAAATGGACAAACTGCACTCTGAGAACTCTCATGCCATATGTTTCCCTATTGTAAGATCATTATTAACGGATAAAATCGAGGCTGGTGTTTAATTTTTACATTCCACACGAATATCTCCGGTGTGACGTAGAAAATTTCAAAATGTATTTCTGGTATTTTCATGTCATTGGCTCAAGAAAATTTTCTGAAACCTTGTATGAGAATTCTATGGCACCCACATATTATAATACACTTCATTTTTATGGATTAGAAGCTACGTAGGACCCAGTAGACGCGTTCAAAACTTATTATGTCGCAGTTTTTGGTGCGGGAACCTCAAAGTGTGGTTGCCACCCGCATTTTCTTTTCGTGCACTTCCTCGCTTACTAAGCGCCGTGTTGCAGTAAAAGGAGTGTTTTTAAAATTATGCCATTGTATTCAATTATTATGTGGAAAATTATTTTGCTCTTTAGTGTTTCTCTAAAAATCAAAGGCCTAAACAAAACAACGTGCTGCCGGCAGACACTTGACAATGCGAATTTGATCTAGGTGCCCATCATGCTGCAGAGCACAATCCAGGCAGCAAGACTCGTCTGCTGTCATGTCTTTCAGCTAATACACGAGTGCAATACAATGTCACCATACATTCAGCAGCATCATGCTGAACCTAACATGACGGACTGTACAGACCATTTGCCGCAAAAACATAGTGCCATCAGGGGCTGCCAAAGACGTGCTGCCACTAAAATCTTTATTAATCAAGAGTAAGCAGACATCAGCCAGCGCCGCACACCCACCTATTCACCCATCCCCTTAGACCCCCCCACACAAAGAAATATGGCCGCTTCATTAATTTGAAACCCAACAGAGGGCGTGGCACGGCCACCCAGCGATTTTTGCTCATAAAGTTTTCACAGCTCCTTTTACTAAAGCTTCGATGATTCCAACTTTTGAGGCATACACATAGGGTTTGACTATCATCAGTTGAATCTCATTAGGGAGATTCGCAAACTGGGAGTGTGATGTGCACTTTATAGCTTTTCTGCTTGTTACGGCAGTTCATATAGGTGGAGACGTGCGTCGTCAGCAGCAGGTTTCGTCGCGTTGTTTCCGCCATCAGATGTAACGACGCAATGCTGGTGAAGCTCAGATGAAGGGGCATTCTATCACTCGGCGAGGCGATGACGCCTTCTGTTGCGCAGCGCCAGAGTCAGCCGCAGGTTTCCAAAACACTTTTAGTGACATTTAAGTTAAAGGGGCCACGCAAAACTTTTTGAACAGGGTCAAAAGATGCTGCCGGTAGGTAGTCAAGGCTCCTGTGAACACGCGAGCTATTATAGCACAGCACGTGGCCTGGAATTCCAAATAAATTCTCAGTCAGTTAAAAATCCCTTTCTCCTATCTTGGCAAATAACGCTACAGGTCCGAAAATCAATGCACCACAGACCAAGTATCAGTCATTGGCTGGTTTGAGCATGGTGCGCTCAGTCGTTACTGCAGCCGCTGAAGGAGGCCACGGCCTGTTTTTGTGTGCATGCGCGATCACACTGAAAAGCCATGCATTTGAAAGAGAGAGAGAGAAACGAAAACACGGCATATTCATGAAGTGAATGATGATGAGCAGGGGATCGTTCGCTGTTAACGTAAATCACCCATGACATCGACCACTCATGCATGTAAATGAGTGATAAAGGCATGCAAATAATATGTTGTGTTGAGTTTAAAATTTGTTTTGCTTTAATTATTAGTGCTTTGTGGTATCAAATTTAGCATGAAGTTGGCAAAAATGAGGTCTGTTTACATTCCTTTGGTGGTTGTTGGTTAATACAAATCATACAAAATGCATCGTAGAGCATATCGAGACGTCATATACTGCACAAGACAATCGTAGTTCACAATCTTCATTATCATCACAGCTACAACGCACGCCAACGGACAAGCCTCGACCACAAGGAGCTTCGCCCGTGAAAAATGTTTATTAGGTGGCCAGTGAGTGAATGTGGGAGGGTCCTTTGCTCCGGGAGCCCTCTGGTCTGGACCGCCTGCCGAGCCTACGAAACGAGTTGGCATTGGTCGAGGAAGTCCGGCTTGGAGATAGCAGCCTCCTTTGCTTCACTGAGGAAGTTTGGGTCTGCATCTGTTCCAGCAGCTTGTGTGGCTGGGTTGCTGCCTTTGCGTTGCAGCAAGTGTGTTTGGTTGTTTGCCACATAACAGTGCCGGCATATGTAGTCGTGTGACGTTGGTTTTAACTGATGCATTAGAACGCCGTGCGTAAGTGCACCAGTTAAGCTGGAGCAGAGTTAAGCCAGAGCAGGGTCCTCTGGGTCAACCCAGAGGACCCTCTGGATCAAACAAGAGCGCAAATCACTGCACTCGGATGTTACACGTACTACTAGCCTGATCGAAAGATGAATATTGAAAAGACTTCGTACGGATGCTTTTCCCGTCGAAATTGTGGAAATTTGTGGAACAACAATACCGTTCAGAAGGTACCGGTAAAGTACAGGAAAAGTTAGCAGAAAGGCGTGGATTAGAGTCGTAACTGCACGCTTCATCGCTAAGGCCATTTTGCTTCATGGGTCGAGTTCGAGCGTATTAGTAGCATGCGGCACTCTGTAACATTTACAGTAATTGGGCTGCATGCAATACACAAGCAAAAATTTGTTCTTATTTTGACCTCGCTGAAGGATACGATACATTAAATACAATCAAAGTAATCTACAAGCGTGAAAAATCCTTCATGCATGAAGAGACGGGAAGTGCAACTCGCTCCTCGTGAGTTCACAGCTGATCGTTCACTGTCGCTGCCACTCTCGATGCATTTGCAGCCTTCCACGTCCTGCAAAAACTTCCTCGTCCTGAAAATGGTTTCTTTATATCACTGCTGAAAGCAATCTGAGAAATTTCCTCTGCAAAACGACTTTGAAAACAGCAATTACTGTGTCACTCACCACATTTATCTAGGCACAAAGAGCATTTCATCCTGTAACCCATGAACAAATAATTCCCTCGCAGTGTGCAACCATGAATCTATAAACGTACAAAGGCAAGCGGCGCAGCGTTGGCCAAATTTTGGAAGAGCAAATCGCAGGCCCGCATGACTTTCTGTACACAATGTCAATAATTCATGCACTACAAAAGCACTGCCGAATGATAGATGCATGTAAAACAAGACAAGTTTGAACTGCTAAGGTCATACAATAAAATTTAACAAACCTATGTGGCTACAGAACTCCCGAAGCTTTTATGTATAGTCTGCAGGCTATCATCGAAAGCACAAGTTGCCACATATTTTGCCAGGCATAGTTGCAACGTAGTTGCCAAGAACGAATCAGATTTATCGTGTTACAGACGGTCCGGTTGGTTTCCTGATGCAGAAAACATGCGAAGTGGTTAGTGTTCATTTCTTGCTAACGCGCTCACACTTAAGCTAGCACAGCCAAACAAGGGAGTGTCAGCCTACTGACCATCTTTGAGAGGATGCTCCTGAATTCCGCTTGGCGGCACCACAGTGTATGGGCATTGCGAATAGTTTACGACACTTCTGGCTTTCAGTCGTATCGCGCAGCTGTTTTCTAGTCACCTATCCAACATGATTAGCTCAGCGCCTCAGACGAAGGAAGGCTTTATCGGCACACCAAGAAGAAAGGTAGAAGCTCAAGTGACTAAATGTGTATATGTATATGTCCCCCCCCACTACTTCAAGAAAGAAAAAAGGACGTAAACTTAGCAAGCTGCTCGGTTGCAACTTGATCTATGTACGGCATAGTTTACAAGTACACTCTGAACATGGTCTTCCAAAATATCTTCTCTCAGACTGTGAGGGGAGTACTGGAATGTTGAAAGTTGGAGGATAGAGTAAAAAAGAAATTCGAAATTGTGGAGAGTTTAACATAGAGGTTTTGCTGTCGGATAATTTTATATAAAAACAGAAGTAGCTGTAACGGTGTTTTTCATCACAGCTACTGTGTAATAAAGTAACAGCATTGCAGTTCTCTAACTTACAAGTAACTAGTGAAAGACAAAGAGTGGCACAAGGGCTCGAATGTTAAGAAGGCGAGCGCGAGAAAAACGACGAAGAAGTCTGGTCTACAAGGATTGCACGGTGAAAACAGCATTTATCTGATATGTCACCCAGTATTTTTTTTTATTTATTTAACTGTTCTTAATCACTCAATGTTGTTCCAATTATCTACTAAATTTAAAACTACAAAATCTTGGCCAATCCCCTACAGTGGGTATGTACCATTCTCTGTAAGGCTGAAACAAACAAACAGAACTGACCGCCCAAGAACGGGTGCTGTGTCTCACATCATTACAATGGCACAGCGTACAACGAAAACTGATCCTTGAAGCGAAAGTCTCCTGTGTTCATGGTTCGTCGGCATTACGCATCTCTCCATCCGAGGTACGTTTTTTACGTTTGTTGGCGGTAGTGCTAGCAACTCGACCGCTTCTGCAGCTACCTATCATACCATTTGCGGACAATATCCATGCCTCCTCGGGGGTTTCAAGTGGAATCCACTTGGCAGGTAGCATGCTACTGCCACAATGCACTAAGGCTGCTCTCGTCTGAGAACGTTGCCCACGCTTGCCATGACATGCATTCTACGCCCAGAACTCTTACAACGTGTGAACACCCAAGGGACGCTGTTCAACCTTCCTTGATCCTGCGTGTCGCTGCCGAGAGCACTGATAGCACCACAGACTTCGCGGACATGAACCATCGCTGTTCCGGCGCCTCGCCCCACGGCAGCGTGGATTTGTTGTGTGCCATCGCGCAGCTCCCCATCGAGCTCAAAGCATTGACAGCGTCAACCTCTGCTCTGTGTCCTGCAGCCTTGCCTTGCCAGCACTGTACTCGATCAATGCCGAGTCAGCCGCAGCCGCCTCGCAAGACCGTGAAGA